AAAAAAAAAAAAGACCAAGACATGAATGTCTATAAATTTAGAAAAAATGTATTTTGCAAATATTTTAGTATAAATGTATTAATATAAAAATTTGAAATATTCAAATGTACCTTTTTTAAAAAAGAAAATACTTTGGAAATAAATATAAATATATATTACATGTATGATAAATATAATATTTCCATAATCATGTAATAATACATTTTGCACTATAGATATTTGACACCTAGAATAAAAATAAGTAGTTTTATAAAAACACATGTAAGTTGTTAAAAATGTATATTTTTCCTAATTGTGAAGATTTTCTTAAGTGAAGTAAGAAATTAAGTCTGTATAAAGTTTGGGAAACATTTCCTATAGTACACTAAAAGTATACCATTTTAATATTAATTAAGGCTAATTTATCCATTCCTATACTGTTCACTTTTCCCTAGCAGGTGAGCAATTCACCACTTGAAACCCTCCCACCTCCACTTCATCCTCTGTACCCTCCCCCTGTTAAAGTAGTTACCTTTGCAGGTTGAGGTATAGCTCAGAGGTGGAACACTGGGCTGTCATGCGCAGAGCCCTGGGTTTGATCTCCAGCACTTCAGATGAGATGTTTATGTCTATGTAGCATTGCTATAGTAGTTTTTTTTTTTTTCTTCAGAATTACTATAGGGAAAAATGTATCAAGGCATAAATAAGAGCTGCAATCATAGTCACTAGTTGGTGTCTGTATCAAATGTGTTTATGAATTAAAACTCAGTGTTTTCCCAAACCAACTATTCATAACTAATACGATTCTTATTAAAATATTCTCTCCTTTCTCTTTGAAATACTGAAAATGTTTATATTACTTTTTGTGTTGAATGATGCTTATTATTTGGAAAATTCTTTTGGCTTAAGAGACGATGGCTTTTAAGTATAAAATAGCCATGTTACTCAAAGCGCTTTCTCACTAAAGTCTCCCTTACTTAGAGTAAAGAATACATGTCATATGTATTAAGTTGGGAAAGGCAGGACCTCATAAAAAGTGACAACCTAAGGTAGGAGATGGTGAAAGATAAAAGAAGGCTGACAAATACTTCAATTTCAGGGTCTTCGGTGGAGCTCAGTGAGCACTCGGTTGTGTTCAGGAGTGCAAGTGGGTCTACCCTGCTAGGCTAGAGTTTCCCAACTGCAGAATCTCCAGCTCCTGCTTGGCATAATGTGCTCTCCTCTTTTCAGCAACTCTCTGTTACAACACTGTCGCCCCGGAATTCCGTGTAGTCGGTTCTGTCCCCGTTGTCTCACCAATCACTCCGTTGTTTTTGTTTCTTTTTTTTTTCCTACCTGAATTTCTGTCATTATTTCATCCGAATGGCTAAGATGTAAAGTTCTAAGACTGAATCAGAGCATAACTCATTTGCTCTTTGCTTAACTCACCAAAGCAATGTTTATCTCGGTTGGTTGGAATCTGATAGCATGTACTTTTCTGTTCTTTTTACGCAGGGTATGGCAGGGATACTGAATGTCTTCCTTCGCCCTCATGTGCAATATATAATTTAATTAATTCTTTCAAATAATGGCTAGAGGAGGTGCTTATTATAGTTAGGCTATAAAAAATGGATAGTGACTAGTTCTGATTGCCAGAGTAATAGGGAGAAACCTGAATACCATTCAGAAATACTACTTTTGTTTTTGTTGTTCTTGCGCTTGTTTTATTTTCTCATAAAGACTAAGCACTAGGTTTACATAAAATAATTTAGCAGCTACAAGAATCTGAGGCAATCTTTTCAGCAAAGCTAGCACTGCAGCCTTTTGTAGTTTGAAGAATTACTTCTTGTACAAAATTTATACTTGATGGGTGATTATGGAGAAGAGCCAGCATAATAACTTGAAACTGGTCTTGAACATTTGAGGGAGAGTTTGGGGGAAAATGACATGTTAATGAAAGATAAGATAGATGAAGGAGCTGAATAATAATATTCTTTTAGAGCTATTATCAGGAGATTATTTCCTTGTTGTTGTCTAAGATGCATGGTTTCCAAGTTTCTCTCCTGTCTGTAATGACAGTTTGGATCTACAGTTGTAAAACACAGTGGTTAGATTTTTCAGTAATTTTTAGAGCTGAATTTTAAATGTAACTATTACTAAAAGTTATATTATGAAAGAGACTGTAGTCAAATTACTAATAAATTAATTAGAATTAAATTACACTTTTTAAAAGTAGTAAATTTGACATCTAATTTCCTAATTAATAGTGCTTTTGAGAGACTGAATAAAAAATGATAAAAAGCCATTGTTTTGAACTAAGGCCTTTAGGAAGCCCCAGCAGATCAAGCTAAAACTCAAACCAGTCACCCATGTGGGGAAGCTCCACATCAACAGACTGAAACTAAGCCATTTATCTGAACTTTTGGAAGATCATGATTATAGATAAAGCCAGATTTTCCGAACAGGCCTGGTCCAGTTGGCAGGATAATGACAGTCCCTTTGTATTAATCCTTTCACAAAAGACGTAAATGCAAAGAGCCTGATGTTAACTAATCATTTTTGTTATGTATTGCCCTGTTTCCACCTCACAAGTAATTCTGTAATGATCAGTCTGCTTTTTTGTTCCTTTGTTTCTGCCTTGTTCAGCCCATTGTCTCTGTTTATAAAATCAACTTCCTCTGTTCACCCCATCAAGAAATTTATTGTTTTATGGAATGAAATGTTAAACAAGCCAATTATGATCATTAAACTAAATTGTCGTTATTTTTGCCCTTTGATAGAGGTGGTCTGTCATCTCTGCTTCCCTAGCTGTGTCTCCTTCTGTTGTCACTTCCAATAGCACCTGACTGATAACTGGATATGTATTTCCTGTACACTATTTATGCCCCAGAAGTCAGCAAACACTACAAATCCCGGAGGATGGATGGATTATTTTATTCATTATCTTGGGTTATGTAGAAATAGATGTGTCAATCGCTACTATATTGCAGATAGCTCAAGATACTGAGGAAATATTTTTCTGGTATTTCAAAATTTCATTCAGTTCAGTAAAGTTGCTCACATTTCTGGCAAACCTGTAAAGTTCTGATATAATCGGGTTTTGATGTTGCTCTTTTCCTCTTAACATTAAAAAAAAAAAACAGCATTCATTCAGGAGCTTCTTCTGTCAGTTTCACTCATATTTTGTACTACAGAGAAGTTTGGCAAAATAATGAAAGCATTCTGGGAGAATTATTTAGCTATACGAATTTATAAGAATATCGAGTATTCATTAATAATGTTAAATTTGTATGCTATACCACCTTCAAATCTGGAGTTGGAAAACAGCCATCTGAGGACTGGGTTGGGTATGATGCCATACTGTTATTGTTTTTTAAAATCATGGGCTCTCCCCGTATCACCTAGGCTGCCCAGCTCTCTGGCTCAAGGGATCCCGCCCACTCAGCCTCTGGAGCAGTTGAGGGCAGTAGACGTCTGCCCCTGCACTGGGCTGACACTCTTTTTGTAAATAAAATTTTGTTGGGAAAGCCATGATAATTCATTCACTCATTGTCTGTGGCTACTTTTGTGCCACAAGGGTAGGAATGAATGGTGGCGAAAGAAGTAGTACAGTCCCGAGAAGCCCACAATGTTTATCATCAAACCTTTTTCAGAAGGTCTGTCTTCTTTCTATAAAAACAAATATATGTTTTAAAATATAAATGAGAATACACCTTCACCAGACGCGATTGAGAACTGTTGAACACTTTCCACCACGCACACCCATGATCCAAACCCCCGCATATCTCCCAAGTCTGCTTTCTGTTCCCTGGTATCCTTGGTTACTTCCTGCCTCAGAAGCACTCTCTCAATGCTTTCCGAGTAGAACGCTGTGCTGGGCCTTATGAGGTCCTTTCATTTGTTGCCATACTTGAGGTCACAATTATGAACTAATTTTTCACAAACCACAAGACTCTGATACAGAGATGAGACTTCAACTTTGTTTTTTTAATCAAAGCTTCTGGAAAGCTGACCCTTCACTACGTCATCAACTCCCTTAGTAAAATCTAATAACTCATAACTCATATAATTGAAGAAAAACTGTATGTAGCTAGTAAAAAGCAACTGGGTACACATTCAGATTCTCTACTCTGTTTCATACTATCTTTAGGGAGAATAGAATAAGTTTTAGAACAGAACTCTTTTTGGTTAAACAGTGCAATTTTTCTTTTTATTCAGACTTTGACAGTTAATTTAATGTATTTGTGAAACTGATTTGTTTCCAAATCACAATCTATAAAGCAAAAGACCAAAAATGAAAATTCTAATATTCTAGAGGAGAAATAATGTGGAGGTTTGAATCATCACACATATGTGTATGTGCTATTTATTTTCATTCTTCAATTTAGTTTCTGCTCTCAGATTCAAATCAACTTCATGTCTTCTAATGATCCATTTATGATATCCCTGCCCACAAGTACTTTGAATGATGAAAGTAGTTTATAAAGTTTCACCTGACAGATTGAAAAGGATCTGCACACCTTAGCTAATATAAGGCCTTGATGAGATTCAATAATTAAAATATGGCAATGTTAAGTTCTATTTATTTCTGGTGTAATATAATCGAATGAATTGCAGCCTTTTAACAAATTACAATCACATCAGAGTAATATTAGTGTTACAGAAGTTGTCATTGCTTTCCGTGATATTAACTCTTAAGTCAATGTAAAAATATAAAAAGGAAAAAGGAAGATAGAATAGGCTTAATAAAAATATATTCAAAGATTTGAATTTTAATTAAAATAGTAAGATAAAAAGTTGCAGTCTCAAGTAAAAGCTCTATGTAATTCTAATCAGATCTAGTTTAACCACTCTGAACTATAAATTTACTTTTGGAAAAGAGGCATCTTCCGTTTTGTTTTGTTTTTTTTCTTATTTGTATGTGTGCATTCATGTCTATGTCAAAGGTAATCTGTCTTCAATTATACTGCTTTATTCTTCCTTGTGACCTTCACGCTCTTACATCGCATATTCCAATATATTTGAAGGATTTCATTGAAAGATAAACATCATTGACTTATAAAAGTTCTTTTTTAAAAAATCTTTAAATTGATATTTGTTTTTCACTTTGAGGAATTTGGGGTATTCAGTATTTCATACTTGAATGATTAAATTTCATTTTATGGTGGAACTTACATATCATTTACCTTTTGATTACATTGTTAAATAAATTGTAGCTCATAGGTTTTAGTGTTGAATTAGGTTCTCTTAGGAGAATTTAAGGTAATTATATTTTTAAAGCATTATTTCATTTATCATATTTTTTTCTTTCAATTTTTACGTTTTAAGCATGTTTTAAAGTTCCTTTAAAAAAAGAAGTATGCTTCTGGCTTTAAAAAGTAGATTTGATTAAAGGGTCTTTAATGTCACAAAATCTGGGTTATTTTTTTTTAATCTTCAAATTAAGAATAATATTTTCATGATCATATCTACAGGGCCCAGCAAAAGTATTGAACTAAATATATGTTGCACTAACTATAGATACAATAATCATTTGTCTGTGACAGTAATGAGAAAACATAAAATCTCTTAATTAAATACACAATTAAGGAAATTAGACAACCAGAGGGAGAAAGACCAAACTAAATAACTAGTGCAAGAGTTGAGAGAGAAGTTTAAATTTAGTTATAACTGAGATGCCTTCCTGGAATATATATGTAATCCCAGCTGCTACAATGGCTGAGGCAGGAAGATCACAAGTTGGAGGTTAGACTGAGCAACCTGGCGGAGCCTGTCTAAAAAGAAAAAAAAAGAAGAGGAGAAGGGAAAGGGAGTGGAACAGAAGAATGGGCTGGGGTCTACCTCAGTGGTAGAGCAATTACCCAACATGCAAGGGACCCTGGGCTTAACCCCCCCAGCCACAAACAAACACACTAATAACAAATCATTAGAAAATATAATTAAAGTACCCTGCACCCTGGAAAAAAGACTTTACAAATTGACCAATGGTTTTAAACTTTAAGATATCAATGGGAGGGCCAGGATTTATCTCAGTGATTCCCCTGCCTGCCTTGCAAGCACAAAGACCCAAGTTCCATACCTGGTACCAAAAAACAAAAACAAACAAACAACAACAACAACAAAAAAAACCCAAGATATCAATGGAAATTTAAAAGATCTTACTTGCTACAGATAACTTAGTTGCTACTAAGAAACACCCAGTAGAAAATTGTTTAAGAAACAGAGGAAGGACATAGATGCACATTTTATGAGAGAAAATTGTAGTACATTGTTGAAACATTGGAGATTGGAGGGGAGATAGACAAGTAGTAACTAAGTAACCAAAAACACTAGAATGTTTTCCTAAATTGATGAAAATCTTTAGTCTGTAAGTATAAAACATACACTGTATTTGAAGAATGCAGATATCAGAAGTACGATGACAATGTCCCAATTTTTAAGATTAGTGTGACATCAATATCAATATGTGGCAAAGATAATTTGAAAAAACAAAATTGTATAAAATGTATTCTAAACAGATTCTTAATTTTAACTGGAAGTCTTAACACAAGAAAAATGTATCATGCACATAAATGCTAGTAATGAAACTTAATATCACACCTGCAACTCTTCTCTTAGGTGACATCATTCTTATGGGTTCCACTTTGAGGAAACACTGTGCTGAAGCAAAATCACTGGAGTAGGAATCCAGTGACATAATTTTTACTCTAATGCCAGGTAGTGGGTAAGTAATTTGAGGCAAGAGACAGGAGGTCTTGAAGCAGAATTTCCAGGGCTTTTCTTTTCAGGGTCATTCACCTAAGTCACCACTCTCCTCCGCTCTGAGGAAGTAAATTATAGGGAAGATTCGCCTGGAGGAGCCTAGGGATTTAGCTCAGTGATAGAGCGGTTGTCCGACCTAAGTGAAGCCCTATGTTCAGTCCTTAGTAGTGAAAAAATATAGAGAGATTTGTTAGGTAATATTAATCACTGGAGTACCAGAGATCATTCACACATCTAAAATGTTATTGCTCCCAGGAAACAATTTTCACTGACACGGGGATAATAAAGACCACATTGAGAATGAAGTCATAAAGGAAAATGGATAGTATTGTGCATTGTAGGCAAACCTTGAGATTCATCACTGCAAATGTTTAAAAACATAATCTGGAAATACATGAACATGTTGGTACAGAAGTCCCATAGTTTGAAAACTTTCTGAAATGCAAGTATCAGAAGCCCATGGGGTCACATTTGCAAGGTTTAATTCGGCATGAATTATAGTTTAAAAAAAAAACTAGCTCGTCAATATGAAGAGAGTAGAGCACTTTACAGTAGTGACATTGCATGGCTCTGATCTCAGTAGAATTTATATCGACTGAAGACATGCCTGTAATTCACGGATAAAAAGCCAGATGAGAGTGTGAGAAGTTTAATCTTTGAAAGAGGGAGTATGGTGGAAAGACGAGGAGGAATTTTCTACGATTGCAACAGTTACATTTTAACTTTAAATATATTTTTCAGATTTATGATGGAAAAGACAAAACAACACATCTCCTAGGTGCTTTCACTGGTGCGTCTATGCGAGGACTCACACTGAGTAGTACTTCAAATCAGCTCTGGCTAGAATTTAATTCGGATTCTGAAGGGACAGATGAAGGCTTCCAACTTGTCTATACCAGTAAGTATCGTGGAAAAGCAAAATGGTCAAATACTGATGCTGAATCCTTAGTAAGGCGAAGCAAGATGCAATATTTGATTATCAATTTGCTGTTTACAACTGCCTTCTCCATTTATAAATTTACCCCAACAACTGGATAAATTAAAGCTGTTCTAGGTGTTGTCACCGTTACAACTAAAACAACTAAGGTTCAGGGAGAATAAATGATTTTGAACTCTAGGTTTATTTGTGTCTGTGTATTTTATTTTTATTTTTATTTTTGATACAGGGCATTGAACTCAGGACCTTGAGCTTGCAAAGCAGGTGGCGGAACCACTGAGCTAAATCCCTGGCCCTGTTTCTGTATATTTTAAATAGCAGGATTCTCCCTATCCAATGTTTTTAAAAAATACAATTCGGCTTCTTAACAGATATTTGAGTTCTCATCTAATTGCAAACTGCATACAATGCTTGTGCAGTGATAATTCTTGGTCAGTCATTAATGATAACTGGATGGTGTCAGATGATTCCAAACCAAAACTTACCTAAAAATGTGTTTGCTGTGCTAAATTTTTGTGCTGAATTTTCTTATTAATAAATTCATGCACTTATTATAGCAATGGCAGCTATTCTGACAAATAATAGAAGTTCAGTGACTCGTAATTACAGGTAGGTGGTTACACTGATTGTTATATGAATGAATGAACTTTGCTAGTGTCATAATATAAGAAATGAACTAATTACATCAATGAGCAAACAAATCCACTTAAAACTATATTGTTGAGTTACTGTGTAACACAGTTACATTCTAATTAGAAAATAAAGTACATATAAAATAAATGGTTATCTTTTTTGTTTAATAAATTTTCAATCTGTCAGATTAAATTGATGGTTGGAAGTGTAGAATACTCATTATATAGAAATAAATCGTTAAGTAGCAGTATTCAGAAGTCTTTATTGCTAAATATTCATAAAAACCTGATCCCTTATACAAGTTCTCAAGAAGTTAGATGAGTGGAAATAAAAATAGGTGAATTAAAAATGTTAATACATCAAAGATTGTAATACTGAGCTTTAAAAGAAATTTGAGTGAAATGATCACTTGTTAAAATATTCTGTCTCGTTGGTATGAGAAATAAAGAATAGGAGTTAAGGACACTTTATATTGATGTATTTGGGTC